GTAAACCCTAATGTAAACCCTAATGTAAACCCTAATGTAAACCCTAATGTAAACCCTAATGTAAACCCTAATGTAAACCCTAATGTAAACCCTAAAAATCCAGTCTAGATTTCTAAATAAAAAGAATAATAATTATTAAAAATAGTATTATATAATATATAAAATAACTGGTAAAACCAGAATATAAAAAATATAAACTAGTTATATAATTTTTAATAATATAAAACCACAACTTAGAACTAAAGACCGGTGCGGTCTGGTCTAGTGCAGTCCGGTCCTTGGTCTTTGCAGTCTTTTCCAAGGCCTAGACTGTACTATTCCTAGGCCTACTACTAATGTTCTCCAGCCACATATTGTCACAGACCTGTTACAGAGACACAGTGAGCAGAGGCCTCCAGCAGGAATGTTCAATACACTGCGACAGCTGCATAGCTGCGGGTCTAAGTCACATGGTAATGGCAACACACAAGTTGTCACTGATGACTTGTCCATTAGCTTTATTGTAGCCGCACATAACCTCCTTTAAACTTCTTGCCCCATACCCTCAAGTCCCCTTGCAATGGTCTGGGAGCCGGAACTGCTGCCTTTTATCAGGAACTCGCTTCTCGAATCCCCCTTACCAAGCAAGAAAGAAATTCGTGCGTGCACAAATATTCTTTTTGACCGCCTATATAAGGTAGTCGCAATGAATGGCGGGATTGTAGTAAAATTCGGCCGTGGCGTCAAAGCTTACGAAGGCCAGGTTCTGATATTTCTCAAGCACCATGGCCCCATCATTCCAGCGCCTCGACTGTACGCTATGTATAAGGACACCGAGACGCTTGTAACATTCCTGGTCATGAAGCGTATCCCCAGCGAGCGGCTAAACACAATTTGACCCTCATTGGCAGAGGACGAGAAAGACGACATTGTCGATCATCTCCAGCAGATCCTTTGATAAACTCCGACAGGTTCCGTGTCCGAATCTAATTTCTATGGCGGTCTGGATGGCGGCCGTCTGCACCACTACCTGTTTCACAACCGCAGGGGCGGCTTGCCGAGATCCTTAGCACCCTATATTTGGGGAAGCAAACTTCGTCGCAGGCATGGTTGCGAATTACCGCGCGCACATTGAACAGAATAGGCGGCCGGACTGCAAGGTTTGCTACTATAAGGAATATCTCCTAAGCCTTCTCAAAGGGCATCAGCTGATGCTAACACATAAAGATGTCCAGTTGAAAAGCATTATGGTTGCTGGGCGATAGTAGCCGTTGCAATAGGCAAGGGAAACGGTTGTTTGACGTTGTGCTGGTAGACTGGGCGGAAACTGGGTGGTATCCTTAATACTGGGAGTTCTTTGTTGCGTCCTCTCCGATCGTATTCATGTACTGGGATAGTGACTCGTGTTTAAGAATCCAGCAATTCCTAGAGGTTCGGCCGGCGGAACAGGCTGTGATGCGGATAGTGGACAGGGATGCTGGTCTGTGATATTCTAAGATAATCCAGGCCATATTCTTATTGCTAATTTCCGACAACCACACCTTGCATACGGATACACCAGCCTTATACTCCTATCTAGGCTGATTTACAAAGTATAATCGGTCTACTTGTACAACTTGCAGCGCCAGATAAGACAAGGCATTTAGAATACCCTCGGCTAACTATTTATCTTCAGTTGTTGACATCTTGCACTGCAGAATCACTTTTGGGCGATCGCCGCAGCAATGGTGAACTACTTAGATTGAGAAGACAGAACTTAGGTAAGGTTGTGCTGTATAAAACAAGGCACTTACAATACCGCCGCAACCTACTGGCTGTTTGTCTGCCCGGTTTCTTGTCTCAATTTCTTGATTCCCGGACCATACCATAGCACGCTGGGAAATGATTATAGAATTGTATTTTTCCTATCTATTTTTAGACTTAGTGACACCGAGTAGCTCGTTGTGGTAGTTGTGTTCAGTATTGGTGGTTAAATAGGAATAAGAAAGTAATTTAGGAGACCCGGCTTGGTATACAGAGTGGCTATCTCAAAGGCTAGTTGCTCTATCTACATCGCGCTGTCAGGCTCTGGCAGCAATAGAGTATGTCATTAGTAGCCTCTAAGATTTACAATCGGGAACTCCCACCATCTCTTCCGCCGAGCCAGTCAGCCCGGAATCTTATTGATCAGCAGATTCTGATATTGGGCCTTTCAAATGCGGTTCGAAATGAGTCAGTGGATATACAAATGGTCTGGCAGTACATGGACCGATTACAGCTGGACACCTTATATAATGTATGTATTGATTGTCGTCGTACGCGGCCAAATAATTCGGAGGCCTTCGGAAGGTGAGGGGTAGATGGTTGATTTGTCAGCTGACATTTCTGCCAGGTGTCTTATGTCTGAGCGCATCGAAGCCCCTCAATCCCCTGCGCTACAATATTGAGATCGCAACAGAGTGAGTGGCTGATGATGGATACCGCCATAATAGGACACACGCCTCTCCAGGGAAAGAAAGTGACACCTGCATGCGAGAAATGCCGTGTCCTCAAGGTGAAATGTGTTCAACCCGGAGAGGGACAGCCTTGTACTAAGTGCGCGGTACCTCTTTACCTGGGCATGTATTTCATCAATCTCCGGCTAATTTCAGTAGATGTGCCAGATCAAACTCTCAGTGTGTTTTTCCGGCGCCGAGGCAGCGAGCTCGAGTTGTACAACGCCCTAAACCGTAAGTGTCCCCTGGGAACAATCCAGTCAACAGGCCAGTTAGGCTAATAGGGTGGGGATGGAGGCGACTGGCCGATCTTGAGACCAAACTCACCAATATAATCGGTCTTCTTTCGCGCTCGACTGATCCCCTTACCGAGGTCCGAACACCGCTTGATGACGATTCTGGACCGCCTGCAATAACCGATTATCCTGGTGACAGGCACCACCAAGCAGTCGAGTGGATGAGCGAAGATGTCCTTCCTAGTCCTGCGATGGCCACAGGCCCGGAGTCAGGCGAACACCAGAATACTATGGAAACTTCGTGGGACTCCTCTACTGCTATAGATGCCGCGTGGGTGACCAGTTTAGGACTCAGTCCTGTCGTCCTCGAGCATCTGCTAGACAGATTCCGCGGCATGGCATCCTACTTCCCGTTTGTGCGACTCCCAAGCGCCTGCACTGCTGCATCAATGGCTAAAAATCGCCCCTTCCTATTGCTTGCAGCTCTCGGCGCTGCTTCATCAAACTACTGCCATATTCAAGACGCTCTGATCCGACAATTTAGAGAGTCCCTCGGCCAGCAGGCTGTCATCGCTGGCGAGAAGGACTTAGATCTGCTCCAGGGATTACTTGTCCACCTTGCCTGGTAAGATCTCAGTTCCCGTGGTCCCTACTGGTCTTTGTCGTCCGTTCGGGGTATGAGCAGCCTGACTATTGCCAGGTTCCATTTCTCGTTCATTCCAGGGAGTCAGCAAGAATACCAGTACCTACACATTGCGATCAGCATGGCCATTGATCTGCGACTCGACCAAGCGACGGCCGACGTAGTCGAGCAGCGAAATGAACTGAGGGATCCGTATGCTCGGGATGCATGCCGAGCTTATTTGGGCTGTTATTACATGTCTAGCATGTAAGATGCCATGCTATACCTTGATAGGCGCGCATAGTATTAAGCTTACTCTGACAGCATTGCATTGGCCTCGGGAAAGCCCAATAACCTCCGATTCCACAAGGACATGCTTCAATGCGCGATGCTGCTGCAGCGGGAACCAGAGTTTGAGACCGACCTCTTGATCTATCCGATAACGAAGGTCCTGCAGTTTACTGACGATGTCTGCGAGACTTATCGATCAGAAGGTATTCATAGCCCTCGTTTGTACATCCATGCTGAACGGTTTACAACATGGTTAGACGAATGGTGGTCTTCTCTGTCAACAGATCTTTGCGACAACGGTAGGCTGTTCTCAAGGCCTCGTGACGTCCAATTTAGCTGACTTTGAATCTCAGTGTTGCTGATTGACCGCTATTATGCCGTCAAGATCCGAATCGAAGAAATGGGATTGGTGTATTGCTACGGGCAGAGAAGACCTCCATCTCGAGAAAGAGAAAAAGCGTCCACCATCTTGTCTGCACATCCACGGGTCATCAGCAACCTGATCAAATGTGTCAGTTCTGCACAAGGCTATCTCGCTATATTTTGCGCCCTTCCGGTTACAGAGCAAAGTAGCTTCCCATTTCCTACCTGGTACCAGGTTATTTTGGTTGTCTTTGTGCTGTACAGGTTGTCCGTGGGACTGCCGGAAGTACCCCAGTGGAACGTTGATCTCGCGCGGCAGACTGTGAATCTACAGGAATACATTGGTCAACTGCTGTCCCAGTTCCAAGCTATTGAGCCTTTGACAGACAGGCAAATACCCACCAAGAGCCTCTTTGCGAGGCTGCCGGAGATCATGAAAAGTGTGAGAACTTCCTATGCATTGGCAACCGAGAAGGGCGCACAGGGGGGTGATAGCTGCCATGCACACCACGAGCTTGCGGCTTGGAATCGCACCGCCCCCTCTAATCCAGGGCTGCACCGCTGCCCAGCAGTGCGGTATTCTATGCGTCACGTCGCCGCAGCTCACGATGTACCCACCCCACCGAGCGCGGTTGCTACAGAAGTCCAGAGGATTGAAGATGAGAAGCTATGGGGCGATCTATTTCTGATGGATACACTCTCTAGTGTGACAGGGGCTCCTCCTTCAATATTTGACCAGTGATCCGTGCCCCCGACCTCCAACCTGCGCCACTTTGGGTTCAGCATCGCGTGACCTCAGACCTCGTCGGGAAAGACATGGGTGGAAATCTTGTTTCCGGTCGAATCGTACCGCTGGGGTAGCACATTGAACAGTCCGTCCACATCGCGTGGTTCGTAATCCAGCGATAATGCTGCCTGAATCAGCAGGTCGAGCCCATAAGTCTCTTTGATCCAGTGGGCGACCATGTCCATTCCCGCCACAGCGCCACTCCCCGTCCAGATGTTGCCGTCCACAATCCACTTTTTCTCCTGCGTCCACTTCACATTCGGGTACTGCTTCTTAATCCAGTTGTATTCGAGGTTGTTGACGGTGGCCCTTCGGCCGTCTAGAGCGCCAGTGGCTGCCACCACCGCGGCTCCGGTGCAGGTCGTAAACAGTAACTTTCCCGAGGCCGCATGGCGGCGAATGAGGTCCTGCAGTTTGGGAGGAAGCTTGGTTTTGGCCGGAATATCGCCCCCGACAATGAGAATGTCCAGATTAGGGACGTTGTCCACCGCCACCGTGGGGATGACGGTCACGGAGCTTGTAAGCAGGTGCACCGGCTCCATGGTCTCGCCGATATGGTGGAAGACGAATTCGGGTGCCTTGGCCACAAGACTTGGATCGACCGGGGCGTAGTAATTGATCCCCTCCAGGAGCATTTTACTCGCTGAATTGAGCAGATCGCAGGGTCCAATGACGTCAATAGTCTGGAAATCGAAGAGTGGGCAGCCAACGTGGATAGGAGCCATTTTGGTAGGAAGCCTGTGGATACTAGGTAGATGAGAAGGACTAAAGGAATTGGATGAAATGATCAAACGATTGATACTACCCAGTACCGATAGGGAGTAGGTACTATACAGTGCTTAAGTATTCCCATTTCCCGGATATCATGATTATCATCAGCGCGGAGCGGGGGGTTGGAAGGGTTCCGTCCGCCGCAGTCGGCCTTCTTGGCACGGCCCACGGGGGAACTTGATCAACCGTGCCCGTGAGTGAAGGACACCCGCCTGACCTAATAGTATTCAATTGACTGCTTTCTTCCTCTAGGTGTTTCCTGAAAACAGCTAAACCAAGTCGTCTACGGTCTACGGTCTACGGTCTACGGTCTACTGTCTACCGTCGATCTCGCTCGTGCAGCCCCCCTTGATTAGTGATCTGTCGGGCCGAGGCCCAGTGCGCCTGATTACTACTATATATACGAATCATCTATGCAATCGCCTCAATGCAATCGCATCACTGCAAATTTAACCTTGGTTCCATACTTGACTTCGCGGATTGTGTCCTGTATACTGTCTGGCAATAGGGGCTTTGTACCTGCACGTGACTCTCAGGCTTCCTCTCTCTGGGCTCCGTCAGACCCACTACACAAATGGCAGCCCCCCACGGAGTCCAGCTCGCATGTGGCGGGGACAAGGTCTCCAACGACCTGCTTGACTCCAGCCCGACTGCCTCGAGCGCCTTACCCAGGAAGGTTGGAAGACCTCGAATGCGCGCCGATGCCACACAGCCGGAAGACGCGACAGAAGTGAGATTCTGTCCAGGATTCGAGCGGACAAGATGCTGACCGGTCCCTAGAGACGTCGGAGGCAGGTCCGCCTCGCGCAACGGGCTTATCGTTCGCGTCATATGGCCAATATGGAGGCTCTCAAGGCTCATCTGGCGCATCTCCAAGCGGGGATTCAAGACATAAGCCATGCCGCCGTCGCCCTGAGCGACCAGATGATGCAGGCCGGGGTTCTAGCCGCCCACGCGGAAATCACGAGCCCCCTGTGCGCCATGCTCCACAAATGCACGCGCTTAGCCAAGGAGGTAGAACCCGAGTGGAATCCGCCATTCCTCGCCGCCGCGCTGGCTCCCTCTTCTTACCTTCAAGCTTTCCCTCCCCACCTTGGTGGTCAACATCGCCTCTACGGCCCGGGCCACCGGCCCGATGTCCCCGCCCCCGACTGCAGGGAGGTGGGAATGTCAAGCTTCACCCACCACCTTCGCCTGGCCTGTCTGCTCAACGAGTTGGCACTTCTCCGGAGTTCAGCTACAACGATGGACGATCTGAGACGGCCCTTTCGCTTGCTCCTCTCGCTCGTTCCCCGCGAAACCATTATTTCTATCTTCGAGGCATCACTGAGCGCTTGGCTGCACGGGCAAGAGCCAGAAAGGCCCCAAGAGCTTTCGGTCTTCCAGCAAGACACACTTGGGTCCCGTTACAAGCGGAGATCAGCTCAGAGTCAGCTTCAGCAATCCCAGCGGGGTGATGGTGCAGCTAGAACTCCACCACACCACTCGCAGTTCCGAGCCTGCCAAACCGGGGGGGAACAATGGTTGGATGTGGAGCAATTGGCGGAGTACCTACGCGAGAAGAATGTTTCATTGTGTCTATCTTCACCATCTGCACGGGAGCCTGGATTGGCACCGTGTCTCACTAGTGTGCTTACCTTGATTCGAGGTAGGTTCCCGCCTCCATGATACCGGCTTATAATATCACGACGCTAACTGAAGTCAGAGTTGGTGAACAAGGCCATCTGTCTTGGCCATAGCCCTGGATTCGAGAGTCGGGATGTTGAGGCCGCCTTACAGTTGTCTACGACTACTTTCGGTGCAGATGAGTGATATGAGAGTGGGGCCGATGGGTTACACTGTCCGGATGGAAAAGGATGTCAGCACGCCGAATACCGAGTCACGCTGGACTGATAACCTAATCAGGTGCCGGAATCAATGCTTGGCCAGCTGAACGCGACTCTTTGCATAGATCGACCAGCTCCGATGCAGGTTTCGCAACCCTAACAAGGGTGGCTCTCCCCAACCATGAATGTACAGACCACCGGAGACCGACACATAGCAGTTACCCCATTAAGGGGGCTATCAAATGCGAGAGCATAATTGTATTTCGCGTGTCTGTGCAGTTTGGTCGGGGCATGACCAAAGAAGCATCTTGACTTTCATACACATAGACCACCTTGTCACATGGGTTGTAACAGCCCAGGAGAGTTCGAGGAAAGGCACAGTAGACAATGGAGTCATCGCCGCACAGTTGGCTTCAATACAATCTGGTGACGCCAGAACCCCAGCCTCGTGTCAAACCCCTACCACCTCCTTCAGCCACCGCAGTTGAATTTCGATGTTCTCCTTAAACCCTTTGGAATGATAGAGTCCAAAATGTCCTTGGTCCTGGATAAGGTGCAATTGCTTGGGCTGTCCGGCTTCCTCGAACGCCCGCAGCTGCAGATCAATCGGGATGGTCCGCTCAAGTGCACCCAGGATCATCAACAATGGCCGGGGTGAGATCCGCCCGATGAACGCCTTTGGTTCGAAACCCGCGATCCCGAGCAGGCTTTGCATGGTGACTCGAGAACCACGAGGAATGTTGCGGCGGTCCAATTCGGCGTAGTAGGCGACAATATCGGGATCAGCGACCATCGACGCCTCCTTCGCAGCCCGGGGTGTCGTACTGGCATAGGGACTTGCAGGGATCATGGCGGGCTCCTGCCCTGCAGTGGTGGTGGTCGCAGCACGATCCGCGAAGGCCTTTCGAATAGGTTCCTTAAGATCGGTGACGAGACTCTCGGAAGATGGGAACGGGCATTGTACCACCACCCCTTGAGCACGAGGATCGATGGATGCCGCGTAGATGGCCACTCCTCCCGACAGGCTGCTGCCCCAGAAGATCACCTTGGCAGGGTCAACTTCCGGCAGCAAGGAGACATAGTCCAACGCAGCCGAGTAGTCGCGAGCCTGCAGGATGGGATCGGTGTGGTTTCGAGGGGTCCCATCACTGGATCCATAATGGCGATGGTCGTACACCATCGCCCCATACCCCGCCGCTTGGAAGTGTCCCGCAAAATCCGGGAGAAATTGCTCTTTGAGCCCGGCGAACTACCCATCCACAATCGGATCTCAGTCAGTCAAGCGTAGAGCAAGGGCTGTATGTACAGTGCCACATACTCCGTGGGTAAGTATGATGCAGGGTCGGTTGGGACCCGCGGGATATAACCACCCTCGCAGGGTGAGTCCATCGAAGCCTGGGAATTCCACGTCGCGTCGGTTCATTCTGGGGAGGTGATCGTAATCAGAGTCTGATCGTTTCCAAAGAATCTTTCCCGGACCCTCGAGCAGCTTAAGAAGCTCGTCTCCCTCGGTGGCAGTCGCATCTCATGTTGCTGCTCACTAATCACATCGGGCGAGGCCGAGGTGGAACTATTCTCCATCCTCGGTGGAGTAGGAGACCGCCTGCCTGTACCGAGACATTCACCGTTGCCTGAATTGCCATGTGATTGATGGTGGCATAAGGCTTGATTCGACGATACGGCTACTACTAGATTGGTTGCGTTTGTCTTCTCTAAAACCTTATGATTATCACATCCCCTGCGCTCGCAGTGTCTCGAAGATCAGGCAGCCAAGCTCACCATGCCTTGATCGTTGCCATCCCAATTAGCAGCATGTGGGGAGACCCTTGCTGCTTGGGGTGTCTACTGGCAATCGGACCGTTCGCAACCCTACAGAGGAAACGGTCTGTTTCAAACCATTCAATTCAATTCATGTTCTATAACCCAAGGAGCCCTGAAAGGACTCAGCCCGCCTATTGGAGAACAGCTACTGCTTCAAACCATTGGTAGCCTACCTTGGGCGCTAGACATGCCTTATGGAGAAGAACATTGATTGCGGTCCTACAGTTGGGGGTTTCTTTCTTGCTGGAACACGCCCACCGAACTCAATCTCAAGGCTGCAGGATTGAATCGGTCGGGATATAACTCGGTCATCTGGGTGAAAACCTCGGTCGGGTCCTTGGGCCCACTGGCCGCAATCCGCCCAAAGTCCTCAATGTACTTCTTGGTGGCGGCGAGGTGCCAGACTCCATCCATCTCCTCGGCCTGCTTGTGGCCAGGAACCACATACACCGGCTTTAGGGCGGCCACCTGTTCCACCGCTCGAATCCATTCTTCGCGCTTGGCCGGAGTATTGGCCTCGAATAGCATCTGGTGCACCTGACCATACACCACGTCGCCACAGACCGCGAGCTTGAGCTCCGGCACCCACAGGATGGTTGAATCATATGTGTCCGAGTGTCCGCACTCGATGGCCTGTAGCATCCAGCAGCCATCTAGGAGTAAGGTGTTATCGTCCGGGAGGGGGTGAGCCAGGGGAGTTGGCTGTGGAGTGTAGATCTGGCCGGGGAATCGAGCTTCCCACATGGATGCAAAGACTTGTCCCTCAACTTGTTGGTTCATATGTGCAATTACGCGAGGGGTAGCGACTGGCCTGGCCTCGGGGAAATGCTTTTGGACCACCGGGATGCCAAAGAAGTGGTCGCCATGGCCATGAGTGACATAGATGTTGATCAATCTCCGGCCTGGGGCAATGCGCTTGATCCACTCCACCAGCCTCTCAGTCTGGTCGACGGTGATCGGAGTATCAACCAGCACCGCTTCGGTCGCAGTGTAGATCAGGGTGCAGGATATGGGCGACCATACGCCGCCTTGGGACGGGGCCACCGCAATGAATGGGATCGGGGGCGCAACGTAGACGGCAGCTCGTAGAGTGGCCATCGTAGGTAACAAATTAGAGGGGCCAAGAGTGTCGTTGTGCGAGGTTTCAATCACGTTTCAGTCCCCTCGTCCGGAAACTTGGAAGTGGAAGCGCTTGTCTTATAGATGTCACCCGGTTGACAATTAGGGTTGATGTACCGCGGTACGGAGCGATGATTAATCGGCTCTCATGATCGTCGTGCCTCACGCTCTCTGCCGAGGTTGCATGATTATAATGCGACGTTGCTGAGGGTGATCGATCACTCCATTGCAGTAGCTGTGATCCTGCGCTTCATTCTCAGATACATAAAATCTGGACATATCCACACTAGCTAGTAGCCAGTGCACGCACATCCTCTCCGACCCATCTGTTCTTCTTGCCCACCCATCAATTCTCGTCACGAGCCACGATGCCCAAGTGGGTATTCCACCATACTGCCGGCGCTTTCACGCCCGGGGAAAAGCAGCAAATCGCCCAGGGCATGACCAAACTATACACAAGTGTCGGACTACCAGCCTTCTATGCCCACGCCCACTTCTTCGAACTACCCCCCGGCAGTATCTTCGCCGGCGGAGACCATCCCCCTGCTCTCACCACCCTCTCGATCTACCATCTCGCTCGAACCTTCGAGACCCAAGAAGTCCAGGACATGTTCTTCAGTACTCTAGATGGAATCCTTCGCCCAATCCTCAAACCGAAAGGAATCGACTGGGAACTTGGGATTTACGAGGCCAAACGGGAGTACTGGAGGGTGAACGGCCTCCATCCACCCCCAACCGGTTCCGATCTGGAGAAGAAATGGTTCGCAGCCAATACAGTGACCGACGAGGAAGAGCTGCTCCGATCCCAGCCTCGTCCATGAACGGCTATGGGCCTAAATCTACGGCGCCCGGAAAGAGCGCTCTGTTGGCAGGAAGAGAATCGCGTGGATTAGATCAGGCCCCAGTGCCCATCTCACATCAGGAACGCATGTATCTGTCTAGCCATCAGTACCGAGCCTGCTCCATACATCACCAAGTCGCACAGAAGGTCACACCTTGCTATTCGTAGAGATAGAGCAGTAGTCGCCAACACCTGCGTAGAGGACGGTTCTACACTGAACACAGATTTCACAGCCCACCACGTCAGTCATCGCGGTAACGTCAAACGAAGTGGACTTGCTGGATGTCAGGCCGCAGGATGTCTCCGTACAGCTCGTCCAGGTCCGGGCGGCATGTCCGGAGGGTGGTGAAGGCACGTACAAGGCCGCGCTGACCCTCGGCCTTCCAGCAATCTTCGGTCATCGACTTTGGCTCATCAGCAGTGGTCCGCCACTTCACTTCAGTGAGGAATCCCCCATGGGACAGTTCGCTCACCAGGGTATAACAAAGTGCCTTCCAGGCATCCCTATCGTCCGACCTACGGATTATCTCAAGTGGCCCGACGCCACTCTCAGTGCTATCGAGAGTGACGGGAACGATTTTGAACTTGCCCATGATGATGGTTGTCAGTGATGTTGTTGGGTTTCTTGCTGGGGGTCGTTGTCGGAGGTATGCTTATTTGGTTGATGATATTTGCTTAGGTCGGCTAACTGTAAGTATGCATATTTATGCCCCACCATGGCGAGGACTATGGCCCCTGGTCTGAGGACAGCGTTGATGGCCTCATGCTAGCCTACGGCAACCATTGTTCTGGAAGAGAGCAAGTACGGGAGATTCTACTTACTTTTCGTTGTTCTCCCTTATCATCCATCATGAAGGGAAACAATTGAAAGAGAATTTTCTCGAGTCTCCTTGTGGGGCTGTGCTGGTAGATTGCAAACAAAGATTCCAGAGCAGGGACTTGTGTATTGTTATCCTCTGTCATGGCCTCTTGCCCATTAGCAATCAATTATATACAGACACATACCTCTGGTTGTACCTGGTGAGAACTAGTAGGAGCATCTCAACATATTGATCCAAACCCATCATCCACGCGGAAAATGGCAACCCCTACAACTCCGCAAGAGAGCGCTGCTCATCCCTTTCCTGAGCAATCTACACCAAATTGCCTCCAGGGTAGCTATCGGGTGGATGATGATGGCTCGTATACGATTATAAGCCATGCAGAAGATGGCCAGACCGAGCTTGGTCTTGATTATCTCGTTGATGGCGATCTCTGGAGATGCAAGATGGCCCTCAATGGCGGACTATGTGGCCAGAAGTTCTCCTCTCTGGGTGATTTAAATCTGCACCAACACCGCCATCTGACGATGATGGGCAAAGCGAAACCGGGAAAAGAACAGACAAGACCCGATGGACTTCCTCTGAGCTATCGTGTGGATGATGGTGGTTGGAGATGCATGATCGAAGTCGATGGCGGACCATGTGGCCGAGTCTATACTTTGCTCCGGTGTTTACAACGGCACCATCGCCAACAACATGAATATGAGTGCTACTTTTGCCCCAACTGTCACAAGATACTGTCTCGGCGGGACGCCGTCAGACGGCATATGAAAGATGTCTGCCGCTCGACCCCGCGTGACTCGATGGATGGCTAGAAGCAAAACATAAGAGAAATGTAGTGTTTGGAAATCGTATCATCTTGTATCATTCTGTCTCTAGAGTTAACTACACGCCCAAGGCCCTCAAGCCGTCGAGAAGTGCTCCCTTAACGCGCTGATCGAGGGAGTAAAGAAATACTCCCCACCCCGTTGGTCCACCCAGGGGCTGATCCCCAGGTTCAGTTTCACCGTCTTGGTGGGGTTCTGTCCATCATACAGACTGATGTGGCCCTCGGGATGATCCTTGCGAAGCCTCTGGTTGACAAAGGGATCCATGCCCGGCCCATCGGGGAAGGTCTTGGTCTTGTACTCGGGGAAGGAGGCGTTGCTCGCCCAGCCTGTGTCGGTTAGCATTCATAGCGTCATTCGGGTTTGGCTATTCAGACAGTGACCACGTACGAGTCATGAGGAAATTGAATCCATCCCGGATCAGGCTCTGATAGCAGGTAAAGTAAATGCCGCGGTGCTCGATAGTCTTCCGCAGCCGCTTCTCTTCTTCGGTCAGTTCCGGACCAAAGGTAATCCCTCGTCGAAGAATGACGCTGGCATCCTCTTCCTGTCCTTCGGCCTCTTCTTCATCGCTGTCGGGCTCGGGCAGGGCGGTCTCGTCCCCGTCCTCTTCGGTCCCCACGTCGCGTTTCTTATCGGATCGAGGGCGCATCTTGCGGATGTGCGCTGCAAATGGACAGCTCTTGATGCTCTTCTTGGGTCGGAAGTCGAACGTGTTGTTAAAGGCCAGCTCGGGCTTATCCTCGTCGTAGGCGTGCACCACGGGAGCGCCTATGCTTCATCAGTCTGGCTTCGGTGGGAGAATCGAAATATGACATCGAGGTCTGCAGAGTTCGTACCGCTCTTCCATCGACCCATCAGGTGAGCACCCAGCTTTGCTGGACCATTAGGTCCCGCGTAGTTGGGGCCTGGAATCTGCGAAGCCTTCTCCTCGAGGAACTTCTCAAACTCGGGGACCTTCTGGTCCAACTGCCGGAAGACCAGGAAACTGCCCTCCTTGGCCCAGGCCGGGCCTCGCTTCTTGTTGGGATCCCCCTCAAACCCGAGGAAGATATACCCTGGAGGACAGGCATGGGGCTCCCCCGGGGCCGGGGTGGGATCCAGCCCGCGGATTTTGGGCTGCGAGATGTGGTCTTCGTAGCCAAAGCTGCGGACAGCACGTTAGTTGGTCCATGCTGAGGTCATGGAAGTTTCCCCGAACACACGTACTGTTCCTTGCCACGGTTTGCCCCCGGTCGGGTTTGACCGTCTCGTCGATAGGCGATCTTCATGCTGTTCTCATTGGCATCGCCCACGTAGAAGGCATCCTCGACGTCCACGATTTTCCGGCGCAGCGCCTTGGCACTGTGCGCGGCCACAATGAAGACGCCATCGACCCGCCAGTCCCACCGTTGCAGAGGGTCTTCCTTGGCCAGATTGGCCTCGGGGGCCCGGAAGTCGGGGTGTAACGCGGGGGGGCTGTCGGCGCCCTCGTAGACCAGGTCATCGAACATGCCCTTTTCGAAAAGCCCCTCATTGATCCGGTCGCGGCAATACTCGTCGGGGTCTTCCTGTTGGACTTTGGCAAACTCGACCTCCACCTCGGGCCGCTCGACCTAGAACCCGGAATCCCGGCCGTTAGAGGCTTGAACTCGAGAACCGAAAGCAACGGGGGGAGGGGGGAGGG